CTTAAAATCCATAGTCTGTTAAATAAAATATAGAAATAAATATAATTTTTATTTTTATTGTATTTTTTATTTATTTAATTGTTATATGTTCTTAAATATCTTGTTAGTTTTTTACTATTGACTATTTTTTTTTCTCTCTTCTAAGGAATTTCTGAACTCAACATACAACCAAAATAACTGACTCAAAGACATTGATGACCCTAGGGTTTTAAGCGTTAAAACCCAAACCAAAAACACCATATTTTATACATTAAAACTTCCAACTGAGACTGGCTTAAATTATGAAACCATTTGCCCGAAAAACCTAATTCCAACATGAACCCGTACATCACACTCTAACGTAGGGGCCATAAGACTTCCTAACTTAACCCCTAACTAAAATGAGTACAAATTTGCTTTTTCCCAAAAAAATATATATGGATGTTGAATATGGCAAATATCAGGCATGCAAAATTTACATATTTATTTCAATAAAATGTTTTATAAAAAATTGTTAAAGTTATATTCCTCCAAGATTTTTACATTTAATCTTGGATATTTTCGTCAGTTCTGGATGTATTCAACCTTTATATTGTATATTAATTAATACTACGCATATTTTTTTTTAACATTAAATATTGCAATTTTATTTATCAATTCTAAAATGATTTTTTTTTGTTTCAGGTAAAGATCTTCATTCCTTTCCTATTGCGGTCGTTTATCTGAAAACAATTTTAAAGTATGTATATTTTTGCATTTAAAATTTCATAATAAGTAATCATTATTATGTATATAGACAAAGGAAAAAAGGTTCAGTTTCTTTTTCTTCTCTGTTTCTCAACCGATCTTTTTCTCTAGTAGCCAAATAAATAAATAAAAATGTGGAATAGTGTATATAAATAATAATATAAATGCGAGTTAGTTCAAAACTGCTGATCTCCGAAAGTTTCTGTCCTTCCCCGATTCCTTTGTAATTTTGCAACCATCGATTTCTTTGAAACGTTGTAATCAAATTCAGGAGTGTTTTTATATACATTTCATTATAACAGGGCCTTTCGTTTCGCAATGGAGGCCGAAAAACGTGATTCGGTATCTCCAATACGACAGTCTTCCCATTGTAGCCTTTATAACCTATGCATATAGCACACTTTCCAGGAAACAAGTTGCATAAATTGTTATGATTAATTCAGAATTTTTTTTGGAAATAACTAAAAAAGTACACAATTTTCGTTGGGTAGCACCAACATTTATTTGAAAACTTCCTGTATTCCCTACGAAATCCTCGAAAATGTCAATTTTCTCCGAAATGATACAATCTGTAGTGCCGGTAGGAGTAAAGTTGGTTCAAATATATTTTTAAGGAGAAAAAAAAATTGAAATTTGTATTTCAATAAAATCGATAAATCCTCACATACTCATTGAAATCGAAAAATTAAATATTTTTGCCACAAATTTAACAGAAAATCTGAAAACCTAACATGAAATTTATACACAATTTGAAAGCTTCATAAATTCCCTTGTAAATTAAAAAAAAATCTATCGAAATCGTAAAGAATGGTGTCCGATAAGATGTTTTGATGCTTTATTTTTTTACATTTTCTTCGGGTGATATTATTTAGAAGAGGTCAATCGTGACTAATTTATGCATGAAATATAGCTATAATGTAAGGGTAATATTGAAATGAAACAGAAAAGATGCAAGCATTTTACCGACTGAAGAAGCAAAGTGGTTTCAAATATTTTTTAAGGAAAACTAAATTGAGATTAATATTTTGCAGCTGGTAAAACCCTCAAATAAGAATTTCCTTAGTAATCGAAAAATATAAATTTTTTGCCCCTAATTTACTCGCCAAAAAGAGTGATCAAAGTGGGTTCAAATATTTTTTTGAATAAAGTTAAGTTGGATTACATTTTTCATTTGCCTTTTACTTGAAGTGAATGTATGGATACATAAGAGTAGAAATAAAATGTTGGAGACATTAAAATTCTTTTATGTTTTCCTCAAATGTCTATTATTTATTATTTCTTAATGATATTTGCATCTGTGTTAAAGAAATATATTTAGTGAATTTGAACATATGGATGACGTGGATGGATAATGACATGAAAACACTTAATGAGTAATTACAAATGGTAGCACTCTAATGATATGTCTACATTACGAGATCACGGAGCTGTCTTCTTTTCAGACGCCTCGGAGGATTATCAGGAATTGGAGAGGAAGCAAGGTTAGAAACGAGAGTGTTAGGATGATTCTGAAGTTTATTATGGAAGGATAGGTATCTGGATTGGGCCTGATCTGAAACATAAGAAACATTAAGGTCATTATGGATGGTTTTATTTGTTACAAAGTAGGGAGAATTAAGGATTTTACGAAGGATTTTGGATTGTAAGGATTGGATACGCGAGGAATTCGATGGTTTAGTGGAACTAAATGTATATTAGTGTCGAATTTTGACCTTGTAAAATTTAATTAGTTTATCTATAGAATTTTTCCACTTTATTTTATTTTTCTGCAAAAAATAAAATAAAGTGGAAGTTGCCTGCGAAAAGATATAAAATATCTTGTTAGTCTTCCCGCGTAACTCTTGCCGTAAGAGCGAGAACCCCCTGTTGTGATAGAGGGGACACGTAGAGAGTACTGGGACCAAAAGGTACAACTGTCCTGTACCACTACCCGAGGGACGTACAGTTCTAGATCACGTCTTCTTAGACACGTGAGCTGCTTACGACGAAGGGGCACAAATGCGACAATCTTCTCTCGTATATACTTATATATAATGTTTAAATAATAGAAAATTATTTGTAAAAAAAAACCTTCCTACGATCTGGACTTTGTTATATCTTCCTCTAAGATCAATAGAATTAGATCCCTTTCACGAGCTGTGAATTTTACAGGGTGGAAAAAGAAAATACTTCGGACTGTTGTAACCGAATTAACAAATAGAAACCCTCACCGTTTATATTGGTGATTTACAAAAAAACATTTTCATTAATTTATTTTAGATCTTTATATAGATATATATATATATATATATATATATATATATATATATATATATATATATATATATATATATATATATATATATATATATATATATATATAATGCGGGGTGTTTTGTGATTGCACGGCACTATTTTAGGTATGTGTTCACTAACATTTATTAAAAAGATATCAAAGCTTAAAGATTTATTATTTATTTACTACACTAAGACTGACTGTACAAAGTTCAACATGTTTAATACTAAATAACAGGTTTTAATCACCTGACAAACAAACGAACGATGAGCAATAACAGTAGTTGCTCATCTGTTTGTCTAGCTCTGTGTGTTTTAGTGTGAGTGAATATTGTGAAGCAGTTCAAGTTATGATTATCATGGGAGACACCTTAAATTTATTCACTTTTGCAGAACTAACAGACGTGCTTTTAACTTATGGCGAAGTACATAGAAACTGTGCTGCTGCTGTTCGAAGATATCGTGAAAAAAAATAATAAATACTAAATCTTTAACCTTTGATATCTGTTTAATAAATGAGTTTGAGATATATGTTAATATGAACTTTTTATTTTGCGTTAGTGAACACATACCTAAAATAGTGTCGTGCAATTACGAAACACCCTATCTATCTATATATATAGAGATAGGGTTATATATATATATATATATATATAACACCCAATCAAGCACCCCTTCATATATCAGACATTTAAATTCTTTTTCTTTCTCTCGAAAATATTTTCTGAACACGAGTTTAGTAAAAGTAACCAACAAGCATTAACAAAATACAAAATATCGAGGAAGCTATATTTTATAAATTAAATTATAACTCTCAAAGCAGGAACCTCAACTAATTAAAGCTTAACAGAGCTTGTTGGCTACCAAAGCAAAATCAAAAGCCTAAATTTATAATGAAATTTTCTCCTTCAACTCAGGAACAAACACTCTTCATGGAATCCCTAAGATTTTCTTATACCTTTAACTCTTTGTATAAACCCGTTGGTCTTCAAGAATACCTTAATAGTGTTAATCTCAAAAAAAAAAGAATACTGAAAGTAATTATTCCCCATTATTTTTTTCTTGGTGTTTAGGTATTAATATTTTACTCAATGTCAAGAAAGAAATTGAATATATTGTTTTCGGACTAAAAGATTATTGGGTCAGAAAAAATAATAGACAGAGAGATTATTCCTGACCATCAATGTAGGTTTCAAAAATTACACTCGACAGTAGAATAACTGCACAGGATAACTGACGACAATTGACAGATTTTATTTATTCATTTCAGATTTTTCTCAATGCGAAATGAGCTTACTTAAAAACATGACGTACTTTAAAAAACACAAAACTTAAATTTCTTATAAATTTATAAAATAGAAATAAATTTTTCTGTGAAAAAAATTGAACCATTGTTTAAGAAACCTTTTTACAGCTTTTGAAGTCTGCTATCTTCCTTTTAAATATTTCCTTCTACTTACGAGAGATTTTTTTTTATCATAAAGTATACTCCTACACATACTGTATACGATCATACTTCCTAAAAAAAATACAAAACTTAAATTTCCTAATTTTCTGTAAAAAAATGAACCATTGTTTACGAATTTTTTTTACAGCTTTTGAGGTCTGCCACTAGCGTATCCAGTATTTAATTTTTGTGAGCTTCAGTCCGAAATCTTTTTTTTTTATATATATATATATATATATATAATATATATACAAAGATAATTATTTTTTTTAAATAAATTAATTAATTACCTATATGAAATGGTGTTAAAGTGGTTCTTGAAATCATATTTAATGTAATTACACGAACAAGAATAGTGTTTAATATTTGTTTTCTGTAAAGTATGGCTATAATTTACTATTTTGGGGAGGAGGGGATCTTCAGCTCGAAAGCCCTCCTCATAGATCCACCTGTGAGATCTGCTTTCATCCTTTTAAATAAGAGACGTTATCGATATCACACAGTACACATATACTGTATACAATGATGTTTATTAAATTCCATCTTCTTTAAGGAAGTAAACTTAACGAGTTATGGTGGTACGGACCTGTTGCCCAAAGGACAAAGGACTATAAAGAAGTGGATGGGGGACCAATTAGTCCTTCCCCTCCTCCAGGACTCATCAGATCCTTATCCTTCAACTTCTTCTCATTGGCCATTCATCCTTCCCTTCCCCTCCAGTAGTTGGCCCAGCTCCTAATGCCAATTCCTCCTTTCCCAATAAAGGGCACAAATTGGACCGTGATGACAGTTTTAACTTTCCTTTTCAAATCTCGAGATCGAGAAGTTATAGGCCTTATTTCCATCTTAGGGAACCTTTTATTTCCAGTATTCCCTATTGGATATTGATTTATTGAGAATCTGATAGGTCGTTGTATCGGTATTATTACAAAAATTCATATTTTATTCATCTAATTGTTTATAAATAATATTATTTACTATATATGAATTAATCAGTATTAGAGCTAAGCCTGCTTAAACTACTATACTTATTAAAAACTACATGATTTAGGAAGGTTAGTAGGGGTACGCAAAATTTTTAAAATATAGTAATTTTAACCTAATTTATCCACTCTTCTGTAGTTGAGTCAAGAGATCAACCCTTCTTAACGAATCGCACTAAATTTGACCCAAAGAAAATCCAGTAATTTTCTATCATTGAGTATTGTCAATAAAAGAAAATAATCTTGTGATTTCTTGATTTGTTTTCTTTTGCCGGTGTACTAAAATGTTACAAGCTTTGTGATTCCTTGTCCAATAGCTTTTTCGTAATTATCAGAAGAATGATAATGCATATCGATATATTTCCAATATTTTGATATTTCGATATATGTATGCCTGCTTTATTAACAGTTTTGTATAATAACAATAATAATAATAATACTTTATTTATTCTTCGACAAACCTCTTTAGAATAATACAGAAAAACAGGAGCCTTAGAGATACATAAACAAAAATACAGAGTAATTAAATAGTAAAAAAACAAAAACAAATTATAAGTTACTTTCTCATTTTAATCAGTTAATAAAAAAAAACTGAAAAAAAAAACTGAAGGACGGTCTAATAATTTATGTACATATTTACAGTAGTATCTATTTATAATTTTACGGTGACTGGATGGATAAGAAATGATTAAACAGGCGGGATTTAAAGGTAGGGAGGGTATTGTATTGACGTATGTGGGAAGGCAAGAAGTTCCATAGGGATGAGGATCGGATAATGAACGATCTGTCGAAAGCAGCTGTTCGGTGGGCCCTTCTAGTATTGCGGGAACGAACAGAAGATTTGAATTGAAGGACCTCGGAGATGCATGAAGGATGGCGAAATTGGATGACTTGAAGAAGGAAGGACGATAGGAAAAACGGTAAGAAGGATAAATCCACTTCGAACTGCATAAAAACTGAACACAGAGGCGTCCCGTGGGATCCCGAAGATGTATATCGATATGTATCAAGATATCTATGTTTTTAATATCTGAGATAATATTATTACTGAACTGAAGTCTTTTTTTTTTTTTTGGAATAACTTTAATAGCAATTATTTATCGGTGCCCCGGAAGTAGGACACAATGTCCGTTTTTTATAAAATAATTTAGTAACCGAGAAAGCTCAAAGTAGGCCCGTGCGAAAAATTCGCACAGCATACTGTTATCAAAAGCCAGATTAATAAGAAAATAAAATAATGCAACCTATCAAAAGATAAAGAAATCAAATGTTACTTTATAAATATAATCGACAAAGGAAACAAAAATTAATTTAAATCTTCATTTTTATTTGGAACCAACATGTTTTCAAATTTCAGTAAATCTTTGCTAAAAATTTTCCGATTTCAATGATTTGTTTTACTTTTGTAGGGAATCATCTTTTGTATAATCACGGTCATAACCAAGGGAAAATTGTGTAATTTTTTAATTATTTGCAAATAAAGTTTGTTTTCTTTTATAACATTTTGCCTGAATTTTCGGGATGATTGGACTATTTTGTCCGCCTGAAGGAGAAGGAAGCCTTCCAAATTGGTGGCTCAATCTTGATATTTGGTGAAAAATTGACGATGATATGGCTTGCCGATCAAAAACACCATCGATAAATAATATAAACTCCTCCTCTCTCGATCATAGAGACGTCAAGTCGTCGAAATGAGACATGTATTCAATGAAAGTACTACAATTAATGTAAGATTGTATGGATGTGAACCCTATTATCTCGAAAATAGTACGTTTTTGGACCTAAAAACGCAGGCTCCGATAGTTCCGGAGGAACTATCCGGGTCTTGCTGTACGCATCAAAATCTTCAAGATCCAATTTGTCCCCTATCGATCTATAGAGCTACCACTGTTAAGGTATTGAAGCCTAGCAAAATGTTTGGATCGACATTATTTATTTTAGAAAGAAAAACAAAAGTGGAGAATACGATTCGCTAACCCCCCGTGAAATTCTGAATCCAACGGTACCCCATTCATGGTATTTGAGCTTATATTTGGTACAAAACCGATTTCGAGCCTTACTGTAATAATATATGTACGGATTAATAATTTCCGAAACATATAGAACTTATTATACTTTCATGATTAACAAAAAAAAAATACTAATTGTAAAATATAAATAATCTCATTCAGAAATGCTCAAGGTTAAGGCGGCTATACTTAGAGTTTATTTTTTTTCTAAAATAAAAATTAATTCGATATTTCTCAAAGACTCCTATCTTTATCCGCTGACAAAGAAGTTGGATTCTTAGCAATATTGTTCTCTTTCGTCGAATTAAATTAAATATAATACAAATGAACGGAAAAGCTTTGAAATTTAACTGTAAGGAACCCGAGGAAAAGACCCTCCCCATTATATTCCCACAGAGGATGCATATAATAAATACGAGTATATATGTAGGTATATATTTATTAAATATCAGCGAAGGGTAGATGAAAGGCTGACAGATGAAAGAGTTGAGGGTGGGATGGAATGCATATAAAAGGCAGCTTATGGGTTAGGATTGAGGGATCTACCATACCTACCTCTCTTCAACCAATGGCCCATCTCCTTCCATTCCTTTTAAGTCCCGTGCTTTTTGATTGGTTCTACGGATCGTTAGCTGTCTTTTCATTGGTCATTCATCTTGGCATAGGCTCCATTAATATTATCAACATACCCGCTTCAGGAAAACTGAATAAAAAGTTAAGATTTCTTTGATGTGTTCAAATTTGTTTAAACTATTGCTTTCACAATAAATCTATATTGAAGGTTAATCAAGGAGTAAATAAATATTTTTTATACTTTCTTATTAGTTTCCGTATAATTATTCTAAAACACTTAGCGAAGTGTAGATAATATAAATTATAGATCATAGAAATTCTTAGGATTTTTTATAATTACTCCGTATCATTTATATTCCGATTTTCATTGAGCGCGGAGTTATATTTATTTTTTTAGAATTGTTCTTTTTAAAAAGATATAAACAAAAATAAAAACATGAGAAGGAGTTGGTCTCGGGGTGCAGTCAAATAAATCCTAAATTTTTAAAATAGTATTTTAATAGTTACGCCGACGTTTCGACCCACTTCGTTGGTCTTCATCTCTGCTCTTGTTACTCGTTGCAGCACCATATTTCAAAAACAACAATTATATTTTTTATCTTTTGTAGCTCTGACGATGACCTACGAAGTTGGTAGAAACGTCGGCGTAACGATTAAAATACTATTTTAAAAATTTAGTATTTATTTAACTGCATCCTCTGACCAACTCCTTCTCATAGTATATCACGGTCAACCATCTCTACACCATTAAAAATAAAAATAGTTTTAAATATATTTTTAAATGTTATCGTTTTATTCTTACCCATTAGGAAAATCTAAATAAATCTATTTACATAATTACATAATATCATATTTTTTTTTACATATAATTAAATGATTTATTGACAATGAACTAATGGTCGTCTGTCGGGGTGTTCGCCTAGTTTATTGGTGGAGATACCTTATCTTTTAAGAATTCACAGTTTCAATATAACAAAATACCAATTGCAATATTATTTACTTAATTTTAACTAAAAATTCTTACTAAATATAAAAATATAAATATGCTTACATAATATACAAATATACATGAACATAAACTTAGATATCTTTTATTCTAAGTTATATTCTTTCACTAATTCACATCTATGGTTCGTGGATGATCTTAAATAGAAATAAAAATTTCTGTAGTCTGGGCTGTTTAGAATTTTTATCGTTTCCATAAAATATACTTGATGCATACCTAAAAATGCTATTCTGAACTCTTTTAGTATTGGGTATACCGATATAAAATGAAAGTTATCTTTCGGTGCATTCATATTGCACAAAGAACAATTTCCCCTTTTATCGTGCCAATTTAGATAGATAGTAATTTAGATTGAAGATATGGCATTTAGTCAGAAGTATTATCTGAGAGCCCAATCATCTTTTTTAGAAAATACCTCTGTAGTTTTTCAATCTCCTCGAACTCTTGGTAGCCCCAAAACTGTGCTCGATAACATATCATAGCCCTCGCCGTAGAGTTAAAGATTAGCGTCTTTTGTTTAACAGATACCTGCATATTTTATATAATCCAACCACATCATATTTAGTGCATTTCTTGTTATTCGAAGCTTTTTCCTAAAATGATCTGATAAAAATAAACCGTATTTTGTAGCAACTCCCAAGTACTTATAATTTTCTACTATTATAAGTCTATTGGGTACCCATCATATGTCCATTTTAATTTTCAATCAGTTTTCCATTTCCTTTTTCGACATATTATTATTTTTGATTTTTCAAGGTTGATTTCCAGACTCCACATTTCGCAATAGGTCTCTAATCTATCATTTCTTGCGATATTATTGGGTCATCCGAAATCAAAACCAAAGAAAGAGAAGTGAATAATCAAAATTTTAACCCTCAAATTCCTTCAAGAAATAAATATTGACAAAATTGAGAGGCTGTAAAGTTGAGATGATTCCAAACGGAATAAATTTAAATTGGAGTTATACTTTCTAAAAAGTATGTAATTAAAAACTTGATTAAGGACTTATTTTTAATATCTATAATGCGTCAGTTTGTTCCTTGAAGGTAAGGTTGTCACTAAGTGAGGTCAGGGATTGGATATGAAGGGGCAGTTTACCAATGTCCAGCAAGGAGGCCTTGGGGGTGAGATATGAGCGGCTTTTCGAAGGAAGAATGACCTGGTACAG